AAATCTACACTAATTAAAACTACTTTTAACATGCAGACAAACCTCATTTCGATGCTTGATCCTCAATCTTCTGTCGTTGAAGGCTGTGCACATGCACAAAATTGTGATTTCTTTCGCCTGTGAATCGTTCTTCTCCCATTATAAAGATAATCCCGCAGAAGAATTCTTCTTCTTGTTTCAGACATTGTGGATTTAACCCCCACTTCCTTTTCACCATCAAGTTTCAGCAAAACAAACTGGAACTTCTGTACAACCAATTGCAATCGCGCAATTTTTTCAGAAATTCTTCTAGTCTGGACTGAGATTCTCCGCCTGCTAGCACTTCCATCCTCGTCAGACTCAAATGAGGAGTTGGCATCGAAGAAGGAGCTGTTTCCAACACGTTTCATCAATTTCTTGCTGAGATCAAACAACTTCAGGATGGTCATGTCAGCTTCTTCAAGCTGTCCCTTCAGTTTCTCACATTCAATAACAGCTTTTCCCCTTTTGCTCTTCTCAGTAATTTCGAGATTCCTCTTTAAGTCTTGAACTGTAATTTCAAGATTCATCAGTTTCTGAGTATCCAAGTTAAGCCTGTCTAAGATATTCTTCTTATTCTCTTTCCGAAGGGCCTCAGTCGATCGTTTGGAGATCTCTAACTTGTCCACACTCAACTCATTTTCAATCGATGCATCTGAAATAAGAGATTTATCTTTCCTTTTGTTTATTGATTTAACCCGACAGAAATCAGTGATTTTATCAGCTGATGGTGAAATCATTTTCTTTGACTTGCAAACAGTGAGCCCGATGCTTCCATCTCTATCTGCAGCTTCCCATAATTCTAAGACTTGATTATCAGTTGCAACCTGTTCTTTCCATTTATTTCCAGGGGATGAACATTCAGATTTCTGATCAAGCATGATATCCTTTGTTAGAAGTGATTTCTCTGCCTCAGATATTTCGGATATTGGCTTCAGATTTCTACTAGACTGGCTGTTCTTTGATTTTAACTCTTCAATTTGGCCCATTGCGGATTCAAGACTGGAATGAAGATCAATGTTTTCCTGAAAAAGGAGGTGTGTCATCTCGACTGTTGCCTTTTCAATGGCTTGAATCCTAGCTTGCAAACTTTGCAAGTTTGATAATGTATCTGGTACTGTGGTCTTCTCAACTTCATTTAAATGGTTTCCACATGAATGATTCATCAATTGATTACCCTGGAAATGAACAACAATGAGATGAATTTAACAATTAATACAAGCAACACACGTCTATGATGTAGCTTGATTTACTAAAGAAAAATTCTTATTATGTACAAAAATATTGACATTAACCTGGCTGAAGATTTTCAATCACATTTAGTCACACAAGGAAAGTCGAAATTGAAAATTTCAAGAGCACATTATAATAAGTGATTTTTTAAGAAGATAAATAGTGCAGTTATATTATAATGGTGGACAACTGTCCATTTTTTCAGTGAAAGATCCTCATCTATCATTTCCATGAAAAACCATTTGATTCCTCATTTTATATGTTAAGGTAAGAGATTCTACCCAACAGCATATGACATATCTTCATATATTCACTATGCCAGCATAGATAAGAAGATGGCCTAGTAATTTCTGGTTTAGTCCAAGCTAAGTAACTTGTTTTTTGAAAAACCAAGGAAACTAGTAATTTCTGGTTCATAGGGATCTGGAGGGAAAATGGGATTGAGAAGACAAAACTATTTTCTTGACAAGCTACATTGAAGTGTTTGTATCGTGCCATATTGGAAACAAGAAAATTATCAGGCTTGAGACGACAACAAACACATTTCTGATGAGAAAAATAGGAAAAGTGTATAAAAAAATTCACGTAAAGATGGAAGGAATTTGGATATCCATATCTATATCAGACAGTAGGGGACATTGGACATGGAAGGAAATTGTTGCTGTATTTGATGTGTCGTTAATCTAAATTTCCACTCTTTCTTTCAGTTATATATAAAGCTGGTAATCTAATCATAAGTTTCAATTTACCAAAAGTTTCTTCGGGACAACTGCAACTCAAATTATATGTTGATACAGTTTATAATTTCCATATCTCAGCTGTATCTTCACATATTCTAGAAAAACTTAAATATCCCATGTCTGTCACGTTGTGAAGTGTCTGAATCAATGCAACATAGTAACATCTCAGCCAGCCGTGTCATTTTACATGATTAATTTCATGGGAACCAACTAAAAATTTCTAACACAGAATATTAGTTATCAAAGTGTCAAGATCAACTCAATATAGCAACAAACCCTTGACCTCAGATCAGCCTGGTACCGTAGATTTTGAATGATAAATCTTACCTCCATTTCCTCATGTTTAGGATTTCGAAGGTTGACGTATAAATTGGTGTGGTTCTCCAGGGATGAAATGCATTCCTTCAAAGAAATTATTGCAGCCCCATAAGCAGTCAGTTGACTTTCGAGACCTTCATTTTCATCTATATAGCCAACACAAGCTTTGTAGAGCTCATGAAACTTCTGCTCATAGAGATGCTGGCTGACTATAGAGGACTGTAATTGACCAAAAACCAATGTAGCATGAGCCTCCAATACGTCATTCTCCATACTTAGTTGGCCATTCTCCTCAGAGAGTTTGAAAATCTGATTTTCTTGGCAGTCTCTAATCTTATTGAGCTCATTATACTTCATCATCAAATCTTCCATATTATCTCTCAATTTGAACTTCTCAGTTTTGATCAGATTTATCTTCCATTGAGCATCCTGAAGTTCCAGTTTGTTTTGATGTAACACACTCTTTCCATTTTCAATCTCGTTATTCAGCTGATCTTTGGCAATGGAGACAATTTTCAATTCATCCTCTGTCATCAGCAATCTCTCATGGAGATGAAGATTTTCCATTTGTAAATCTTTCAACCTCCTCTCATTTGAGCTTAACATTCCTATAATAGCACCATTGTCACCATGAAGTTTATTTAGATCATCACCAAGTTCTCTTAATACCATGAATTTCTCACGAACACAGTCTTTGATAATCGAGGAGAAGTTATCTAGAGCTAACATTTTGCAACATAAAGCAGAATTTTCCTCTTCTATGATGAGATTCTTTTCCTTTAATTGTAAGAACTTGTCTGCCAAGGATCTTTTCTCCTCGCAAATTTCTAAATTCTGTTTCTGTAACTTCTGGCAAGCCACCTGCACATCCAATAACTTCCTGTGTAAATTGCCTATCTCAGTCATTAGTTCATCGACTTTGCACTCCCCAGCCCTCAATCTTATTTGAGTGCTTTCAAGCTGAGAAGTTAGAGCCTCCTTCTTTCTAACCAGATCAATCTTCTCTGTGACAAGTAACTGACATGAATCTTCTAAGCTTTTAGATTTATCCTTCAGAGCTTGAAGTTCATCATGAGCATGAGAAAGGGAATTCTCAAGAACAGTGTTCTTCTGTGAGAGTTGCTCTAGAGTCTCACGTGTTACCTGTAGCTGAGTCATGAGTGTAGTGTTCTCATCAAGAAGAATCAATTTCTCCTCTGAAAGAGATTCATGGGATTGCTCCATTGAAGTTTCTAAAATTGAATGTTTCTCCAGGAGGTGCTCCAAAATCTCTAGCTTCTCCAATAGAATTACTTTATCACTTCTTTCTCTGTTGCAAGTTTCCTTCAGATTAAAATTCTGATCCTGTAATTCCTTCACTGATAATTCTAAGGACTCTGGGTTCAGGCCTATGGCATCCACCTTCTCCAAAAATGAAAGGTGTCTCTTGTTCAAATCATTTAATTCTTCTTTAAGGCAGTGAACTTCGTTTTGAAGTGCATTACTTTGACTGAGTTGAAGTTCAAGTTCCCCCTCAATGTTCCTTTTCGTTTCTTTTAAGCTACAGATCTCATTTTGCATATACTTCATCGACAAGGCTGAAGATGCATTGAGCTCATCCAAGTTCTTGTTCTCCTTCTTAAACTTGAAGACATCATCTTTTAAACTCCGGTTTCGGGTCTTTACAACTTTCAAAATTCGAGCCCTCTTCTGCAATTCTGAAGCCATAGATCGCAGTTCTTCCTGAGTTTGAGAGTGTAAATGCTGCAAAGCTTGGAAAGCTTTTTCAGTGTCCACAAAATGCAAGCGCTCTTCCTGTATACAAATCCAAAGTCTTCCCAATTCCTTTTGCTTCTCCGTAAGTTCTTGAGTTTGAGTTTCCATCTTCAACATCAAGGATTCCACCTCGGAGCGAAGAGATTGATTTGATCTTTCTAACAGAAGACATTGCTCTTCAGCATCTTTAAATTTGGAAGCTCCAATATCTACCTCGACAGTTAACCGCTGTTCCTCCTCCTTGGCACATATGACTTTGTGCTCTAGACTGGAAATCATCTCCAAGCATTTCTGGTGTTGGAGAGTCGCAGCTTCCTTCTCTTTAGTAAATTTGGAAACGGTCAGCTTCAGAATCTCAACCTCACTTTCTGCCTTTTCTGCTCGATCTTTCATCATTATTGATTCTTTGTCAGTAATTTGTAGTTTGTTCTCCAGGTTCCCTATTTTCTCCAAAGATTGCATGTACTGATTGTGAGATGCATCTTTCAAAGATTGAGCTTCAGCTTCTGCTCTGCTGGCTTTTTCATTAAGTTCCTTTGCACGATCTCGGGCACTAGAAATAATATTGTCAAGATCAGCTATCATGTTCAAGCATAGATGGTACCTTTTAAGGGTAGCCTCCTTTTCAGCTTCCAAGTAGGACAGTGATTCCTTCAAGATAACAACTTCATTTTCTGCATTACTTGCACGATAACTAAGAACTTTTGAGTCCTCTCGGGTAAGAGAAATATCAGTTTCAAGCTTGGATACTTTATCCAGACTCTGTTGATACTGAACAAGGACAGCTTCCTTCTCGGCCTCCATCCGAGCAATGGTTTCCTTCAAGATCAGAATCTCCTCCGACTGAACACTTTGTTGTTTCTCCTCTGTTTCATCAAAATTAAGGCCCTTTCTCACCGTCCCTTCCATCAATCTAGCATGATCACCAGGCCAAAAGAGATCATTGAACTGTTCTGAACCAATTGTTCCCTTTACAGAGTCAGGGATGGACTCAGTTGTGAATTCTTCAATCTGTGCGGCAGAATGAAAATAAGATGAAGAGAGTTCCACAGCATTCTTATTCATTTCACGTAATGCACTTACAGGGGTTGAAATCTCAGGAGTTCTAGGGTCACTCCCAGAGACCGAATTTGCAGACAAATCATCAGCAAATGTCAAGGGAACTTGATTTGGAAAAGCTTCTGCCATAGTCTGGTGAGCCTGGAGAATCACACCAGTAGCATGACCATATCTTTCTGCAAGTGCACGATATGCCCGGTAGAACTCCTCAACTAGTTTCATAAGCTCCGGACGTTTCTTGTAATACATCTCCGCCCTCCTTGCAAATGAATCTGCATCTTCTTCTATAAGCTTGATCATTGCTTTGACTTTGGTATCCATATCTGTTACAGAATGACAGAATTAGCAGCAAATAGCAGGAACCTATACAAAGTACACAAAATTGATATAATACGACCATAATTGATGAATTCGGTTCTGCACCTTAGCATGACTTGTACAGAAAAACATGTACAGCATTGCTAAAGTACATTAGTATCACTCTGAACTACAAGAGCGAGTACAAGATTCCTTTTTAGATCCAATCAAGAGCACGTAAGTGTAGAGAATTAGAAAGTCTAATTCTATTCCACGAAGAGCAATCAATTTGCAAAAAGAAATAAAGACACACAAGATTTATACATGTACGCAAGTTCACAAGAAGAAGGGAAAAAAAAAAAAAAAAAAAAAAAAAGGGGGGAAAAGAAGAAGAAGAAAAAAAAAAATCGCACACCAAGTCTAGCCTCTCCCTCTTTTGTGATGGTAATACAAAAGCATAATAACAGCTCTCTATTTATAAGAAATATTAGGGAAAATCAAAATTTACAAGGATAAAACATTCCTAAACTATCCTTAATTCACTTCGACCTACATACTAGCTTAGCATAGCGACAATAATTAGGCTCCACATCTTAACAGTAAGGAGCATGTAGCTAAACAATATGTGACACAATTCCCTCATATTAGATGTTCTCCATTTTGGGTAGTTGGAAGAAACATGATCGGGGAATCTATTTTCCTAGTGGGCAGTTGTACAAGAAACAAATCTTCTTCGCAAGTCAGTCCTCAAAGCAGTGATCTTCATGAATGTCAAACTGTAACATTAGCTCCTCTTGGCAAGCCATAGCCAGGTTGTAGTATAGACGTAACTCCTCGTGCCATCTTAAACCAATGGTTAGTTATAGAAACCAGTAAAGCCACCACACTTTTTGCACTTTAAAGAGCAAGATGTAAATGAGGTAAGTGTACAGTACCAAATAGTGTAGCTCTTAGTTGTGAAACCTCTCCAAAACAATTATTTAAAAAGCTAAAAGCCTCCTAAGGTAACTTGAGTATGCTGGTATGTATGCGAGATTGGTAAAGGGCTAAGGATCAACGGGATTTTATACAATCAAAGGTGAAATCCACTCTCAATCACTTTAAAGAGGTTGGTAGGATATGGAAAGAACAACATAGATTGACCACCTTTGGGGGGCTTATATTGAAGCTTTCCAAAAGTAATTGTCTTGCTTTCAG